AAAACGTTTTACGCGGCCACAGCCATGCCGCCGCCGCCCGATGGTGCACCCACGTCGGCTGGTGGTGGTGGGGGCGCATCGAGCCTTGTGTTGTCCGCCATCATGCGGTTGAAGCCAATTGAGACACCCTCGATGACGGCCAGCAGAATAGCACATGATATCGCGCCGTTGCGCATCGACCGGTAGCCTCCTCGTACTGCGAGCGATCCACCTGTGAAGAATCCTGCGATGATGGCGTTCCACGGGTCCTCCTTCTTCCGTATTCCCTTGACTGCGCAGTCGTATGTGTTGAAAAGTCCTCCCCAGACACCGAAGTTGCCGCCGAGAACAGGCGCGCGTGCTTTGATCGCTGTGATGGCGCCGATGCGTCGCTCGCCGTAGGGTGAGTTACGGAACTGCAGATTGTAAGCGCAGGTCTTTGTGATGTTGAAAAGATACTTACACCCTTCACACCATGCCATACTGCTCCTCCGACAGCCTAATGCGGTATTAGTATACGGGCCAGAGATGCAGCGCTGGCGGGGACATACACCCATGGCAAAGGCACCGCCAAAGTCATTGAGAATGACCCAGGGACAGGGATCGCGCGAATGATCCATTGTGTATTATTAGAGGATGTGATGTGTTTTGGGCGATTCCGGGGGTGAGGCGAGGGCGTGGGCGAGCTCGTGGTCGGACGGTAGCCACCGGTGACGATGTGCTTCGATGGAATTTCTTGAGGACCCTTGCTGCTTTGGCGCTAGCGGCGAATCTTCGGGACTGGCGCGACCACTTCTGCCGTCAAACCTCCTTCCGTGTCTCGTCACTCACCATCAGAACCATCTATGCGGCGTCATCTTCTCGCTTGTTTGGATTCATATGCTACTTTCTCTGTCATTTGTCAGCCATAGCAGCTCTGTCTAACAGTGCAGCTACGAATCGCTCCTCCGCGCGGCACGCATCATCTGCGACTGCATTCGGCATGGCCAATGAATCCATACTGCAACATCCAGACCAATTGGCGAAGTTTACTACGTCTATTTTGTGTTAGTAGCAGCTCTTCGGCATCTGTGTGACGCTTCTCCTCTCTGTCCTCCTCTTTCTTCCGCCATGAGTCCACAGCTTGTCCATCAACTCTGACTATTGTCGTTTCCATATCTTCAGCATCAATTCCTTGCACTGTTTTCGGGGCTATGTGCATAGCCTCCGAGGTGAGAGTGTGATCTGGACATCACTCTCAGATCACGTACAAAAAAGATGATTTCTCGACGGAGTTCTCAGACCTACATGCAGGTAACGTACAAGCATCTGTCGTCCATCCAACTCATGTCTTCTCCTCGCTGCAAACTGAGCTCATGCGTATCATGCATTCACCGTTCACCGCTCCAGAAATAGTACCAGACTCGCGCTCACTACAACATTTCTGCCCTCTCGTCCTGGAGCTTCTACACTCGTCCAATGGTTTCCGTTTGCGTACTGCTCCTGGACCCTGCTTTGGAGTCTGTGTCACCTCGGATTACTGCCTAGAGTCAAGTCTTGGCGCTCGCGCTCTCGTTGTTGTCAACTTTGCTACCACACTCACCTACTTATCTCTTACCACTACACCATTTGACTTTCTGTACAACCTCTCAAAATGGTGGGCGCTACTCGCCGCGGAGCACTCAAGGAGACCATCAAGCGCCCGGTCACCCCCAGCGATGATGGCACGATTGCCGACGCACCGCTCGACACTCAAAGCAATACTCACCTGCCTGCACAACAACCGGTACTTCACCCCGCGCGCGACGACGTATCGCGACTGAGTGAGGGCCTTGAGCCGCTTCACTTGGTCGGGCAAGATGGTAAGCTACAGACTACAACCCGGAGCTGAGTACTCATTACTTACTACTATCTAGATCCACAGCCCACAGACGACGCATACGCAGCAGCAGAGATTGACCCGCTTGGACAACGAGTAAAAGAAGTGATGGCGACGATCAACCGACTAGAGGGCCTTGGCTTACAGAGGCTGAACATTCCTCTGCCGAAATGTATCGTCCTGGGTACGTCTCGCGTAACAGTATTTGGTTGCTATGTACTAATATCGGCGCCAGGCGAGCAGTCTACCGGCAAATCTTCTGTTATCGAAGGCATCTCCGGCATCAAAACTCCGAGAGCGGATGATACATGCACCAGGTGCCCACTCTACATCAATCTCGAGCCCTCCAAAAATTCCCGTGCCAGCTGGAGCGCAAGCGTTTCCCTGCGCCGCGACTTTGGCTACTATAGTAACAAGAGCGGAGGATCCGAGCACCGATTCCCAGGCTGGGTTGAGCTGCTTCAGCCAAACGTCGTACACTTCGCGAGTACAGAAGACCCTAATGAACTCGAGGAAATAATCGCCCGCGCTCAACTGGCGATCATCAACCCTATGATGGACTTTACGGACTTCCTCGGATCGACCGTTGCCGCGCTCCGAGAGAAGCCGCACTGCGATTTCAGCCCCAACGTCGTCTGCATTTCCATTTCTCATCCAACCCTACCGTCGCTCAGCTTCTACGACTTGCCAGGTATCATCAATCAAGCGGAGACCCAAGACAAGGAGTTCCTGGTAGATTTCGTTCGCAACCTTGTGACGGACTATGTCAAGGACGAAGAATCTCTCATCCTTGTGACCTGCTCGTTAGACACCGACATCGCCAACTCGTCTGCAGGTGGCATTGCGCGGAGGTTGAACGCTACAGACCGGTGCATTGGTAAATATCCTCGCTTCTCATGATAGACATATTGCTAACAAGTTTAGGTGTGCTCACCAAGCCAGATCTTATACCCGAAGGATCCCGTCACGACAAGCTCATGGAGGTTTTCGACGAGAAGCGCTTTGCATTGGGGCATGGCTACTTCGTCGTAAAAAATCTGAACCAGGTTGAGATGGGGCGCGGCCTGACCCATACGCAAGCTCGGCTCAAAGAGCACCAATTTTTCAGTCAAGGAACACCCTGGTCAACAGAGTTCAGCCACTACCAACACCGATTTGGTACACTGAACCTGCAAAGCTTCCTTTCCTGCAAGCTTGCTGAAGAGATGACGAAAAAGCTTCCCATCATTGACCAGGAGATCAATGCCAGGCTGGAACAGGTCCTAGCCGAACTTCGAGAATTCCCAGATCCTCCTACGCACAACGCCCCTAGAATCATCTCGGATGTCGTACTCGACTTCTCGCACAATGTACGTAAGGAGCTTGAGGCCGAATTCCCTTGCAAGGCGTGGCGCAACAACTGGAAGACACTGCAGAAGGGGTTCTTCGATGCCCTGGCTAGCATGAAGCCCACGATGTTTACAAGCGGAAGTAGAGACGCGACGGTCTACATGGACGTCCTCGGAGTTCAGCCTGGCAGCTCCGCTAGTAAGGCTATTGCTGTAGACGACGACGATGATGACGATGAGGACTACGTGGATGACGGAGATCGCGATACACCGATGTCTAGCAATCCTGAGACACCTACAAAGAAGCGCAAGCTCGGCGATACTCCAGGTCCCTCACCAGCTAAGACTCCTAGCCGTCGCGGTCCTCCAAAGACCCCGGAAGGCAAAACAGCAATGCCAAGCACGGACTTTAGCGAGCTGAGGAAGAAGTTCTTCCTTGATCAAGTCACGCAACATCTGGCGGAGAACTCTCAGAGCAAAGTGCCCGGGCAGATCGAACCGCGCGTCGTCGATAACATGATGCTTGAGACGCTTGAACATTGGTCGGAACCGCTTCACGAGTTCTTCAAAACGCTCGAAGGTCAGATCGTCGATCAAATCAAGGTTGTGTTCCACAAGCACTTTTCCAAGTACCAGGGATCGATCTTCTGGCGCACTGCTTGGGAGATCGTTGAACAAATGGTCAGCTTGAACTTTACTGAGCAGCGCAACACCATGGCCAACGAGAGTCTAAACGACGAGAAGGAAGGCCCTTTCATCTTCCATGACGAGCTTTTCGAGCTTGAGAAGGAAGCAGTACTAGAACACTATCGTCAAGCTCGCTTCAAAGCTCGCCTCAACATCTACAAGCGCGATAGATTGAAGCGTACAGGGAAAGAGACTACCCCGCAAGAAGAGGACAGGATGAGGAAGGACGCCAGGGTCATGGCGGTGTTGAACCATGAACCCTACGTCGTCGAGCTCGGAGTTGTGGCGCAGGTTACTACATACTACATGCTAGCAGCCCGCCGCTTCCACGACGCCGTATGTATGAGGATTGAATCCAAGTTCTTCAAGCAGCTTCGCACCCAACTTCGCGACGAACTTGAGGGTGGGCTGGGCATGAACGACGGCAGCCAAGGTAAGCCTCGTTCTCTCTCACTACGTTAGCCTTATACTGACTTCCGCAACGCAGCCTACGACAACGCCGTCCGCCTCCTCTCCGAATCCCCACACCGTTTCAATCTACGCAAGGAGCTCAGCAGTCAGCGTGACTCTTTGCTCAAAGGCCAAGAGATTCTGCGCGACCTCCAGAACAAGAAGTACGGTACCGCCAAGTCTTCTACCGCAACCAACGGTGGCTCGCACACTCGCGGCTCCAGTGCTTCCGGCGGCATACCCACACCGGTGTCGGCAGATATGGAGGATGTCGATATGGCAGGCGTTCCGCGTCATTAGTCTGTTGGTTGTACATCCGTGGCTATAGCCTTGTTCTGGATACGATACGATGCGCGAAGCTTGCGACTTTGGTGGGCAAGGAACACTGTTTGCAGGAAGGTCTCTTTGTTATGCGTACGCGCGGACCAATGGTCAAGCGAAGCAGTTGCATAGCATGAGTATTGTCGCATGATTCATTTCTGGCGGCGTTGACTGACGACTAGCTGTCGAGCTAACACTCATGTATGACGAAGTATACGTAGCGAAAGCTTCTCGTTTCTTCATTATGACTTGCTAATGTGGCATGTGAAACGTAAGTATATGACAACGTCTTGACATTCTAGTATACAGATCTTGAGCTAGGAAGGAGCGCTACTTATGACGTCCGAGACATGGTGTGGATAGACACTCCTGCTACTCTAGGCTGCCCCTCCGTTCTCGTCACCTTCTCCGTTACCCTCTCCTTCCCTAGCGCCCGCTTCATCATCTCCACCCTCCCCAGCTCCACCTTCTCGGTTCTGGTCTCGTCCTTCTTCCACACCTCCGCCATCACCACTCCGTCTCTGCCTGTGCTCACCCCCACCCGGCCCAACCGTCTCACCCACTCTCTGCGGTCTTCCGAGACGCATCGCTCTCCCGTATGCCAGAGAAAGACGATGTTCCTGCTCAGTAACATTTAGTCTGAGGATGTCTTGCTGTAGCGGATCTTCGTTCTGAAGAGCAGCTACCACACGCCGGGCTCGCAATACCCCGAGTGTCGTTTCTTCGATGGATACTTCGTTCCAGGCTAGTCGCAGTGCGAATGATTCAGCCTCGGTACGTGCGGTGAAGCGGGGGTGTAGGGGCTGTTGTCTTTCAACATGCGTTGGGGATTGAGGCGCTTGGGGGCCTGGTTGGGGCGCTGGCTGCACTGGGTCATTTGGAAGGACGGGCTCGGGCTCGGGCTCGTCTTGTTGGATGTTGGGTGATTCTGGAGTTGGCGAAGGTAACCGCTGCTCCAGCTCCAGCTCTTGTAGTGGGCTTGGCCGTCCATCCCGTGGCTCATCTAGGAGAGGAGCTGGTGTCTCGAGAACATCCGAATCAGCAACTTCGCCTCCTTCCTGCTGGACTGCAGACTCTGAGCGTTCCCTAGTCGCGGCCTTTGCCTTGCTGCCCGACTGAGCGGCGCTTGATGCTTCGCCAGCTGTTGGCCCGCCTGTTCCAAGTGCACCGGGGGGTACTTTCAATTTAACTACCAGTGACTGTGAAGAGTTGTTTCCTGCTGATTGAGCCTGTTTACGAGCTTCGGCTGCGACACTCGCTCTAGTTCTGCGCGAGGTGGTTCGCTGACTTTGAGCTCCGTTTGATCTCGTACCGGCTGGCCGCTTCTCGGCATCTTCATCTTCAGCTTCGGCTGCTGGTCCTTCGCCATTGTCCTTGTTGTTCGCTGCAGCTAGCCTTTGGCGTTTTTCTTCGGCCACTTCCTGACGTCGTCTTTCCTTTTCTTCCTTTGCTCGTTTCTCCGCCGCAGTATGATAGTCCTGACCAGTAATTGTTATCCTGCGATGGAGAGACGCCAGGTCATACTCATCCATCTCTCTCAGGTGTGCTTCGAGTTCATCCCTGATCTCTTCACCCTGCGCGTGGGTAGCGCTAACCTCGGACAAGTCGCGAAGCAGCTCGATGACGCTCCATTCGATATCTTTGTCGTCGCTAACATCGTCTTCGTGCAGCCTGGCGTGGAAGTGCCCGTGCAGCGAGCTTATCTGCCAGTTATGATATATCCGTCGAAGCGCAGCATCTCTCTGTGCTTCTGACGTGATACTGGTAGTAGAATATTCGTTTTCGTCGGTCTTTTCTGCATCGTTCGCATTCTTCCCTCCCTTTGTCTTTCGTTTCTCCTTGATTGGTTCTGTCGGGGGTATCTCATCTGGAGATGAGTCGGAAGTTTCCTCATCATCTTCATCAACTGGTTCTTGACGGCTAGCCTTGGTCTTCGCTCTCTTCCGGGGTGTCGTCTTCCGCGCAGCTTTCCCCTTGCGTTTCTTTGGCTTCTTCTCGTTCTCTGGCTTCACCCACTCCCCTTCACGCAGTCTTCTCAAATCCTCGCGCAAGCTCACCTGTTTCTCGTGCCGGAATTTGCCTATAGGCCGCGCGCGTCCTTTGGTCCATCGTATCAGGTAAAACTGTTCGATTTGGTGTCTTATGTCTCGACCTTGACCCTTGGTCAACTCCGACAAGCTTCGGAACCCGCGAATAGTGTCGATCTCACAGTTCTGTTCCGTGAGATTGTCTGTTTTACCCTGGAGCCAGTTGTTGTCTGCTATCCAGTTTCCCATCGTGGCAAAGTCTGGACCCCAGTTTTGGCCTATATCGACGATCGCATCTGCTCGTTCCTGATCTTCCGCTTGTTGTTCAGCAGCCGTTAGGACGGGGGGTGGGGTTTCGGCAGGCGCTGGCTCCTCTGCATCGTTTGCAGAATCGATTGGGGCGTTATCCGGCTGTTCTTCACCACCTGCGTTGTCAGGCGGGTCGCTGAGCATGTCATCCGGCAACTCGTCGAATAAGTCATCAAACTCATCTACCACTCTCTCAGACTCAGAACCATGATTCTCTCCGTCTTCCTCGGCATCACCCCACAATCTCCGCTGCATAGCCAACGCTATTGCCGCGTCCTGAGCGTTTTGAAGCCCAGCAGTATCGTCATCCATTCCCACATCATCCATCTCCCCAAGCGTTTCATCAAGTGACGGCGAGGTAGATTTCTCTTTTCCTTTTGGCGGCATGATTTGAACGACTGTCGGTGAATGTGTCTCAGGTCAATGTAATCGAGACTGCGTTTAGTGAAGTAAAAGGTTCGATAGCTCCTCTATATTCATTCCTCCCCTCCTTTGATGCTCATGTTTGCATCTGAACAAATACACTCTTTGATCTTTCCCGTCCGCATGATCACTGGCCATTAATGCTTTCTCTTACAACAATCTACAATCCAAACAATCGTATCTTAAATGTGCGTCGTCATACTGGGGACGTTGCTGGCCGGCCACATTGAACAGGCAAGGATAGCCCACTGTACCTTCTGAACATACTTAGGAATCTGGTTGAGTCTTTATAGACTTTGATCACATCTATTGATGATTGAACGACTTGATGAAGTCATACTTCTACCATAGGAAGAGTGCGACATGAGAGTATCTTGGTAAACACTGAAAGCAGATCCATCTGCCACTCTACCCTAATTTCCTCCTCCGTCCCCGTTGCCTTCACCACTCCTATCTCCTTCGTCTCCACTCTTGCCACCTTCTCCTGTCTTTTGCCTTTTGTTTCTTTGATGCGGCTCTCCATCTTCTCCTCCCTCTTCATCTCCTCCCGCGTCTACGGCATCTCCCCGACGTATCCGCCGGAGCTCTTCCTCACGCTGCCTCGCAACCTCTCTCCGCCTCTGCATCCCCTCTCTATTTCCCTGAAAGCTATTCGCCTCCATCTCCGCTTCTGCACGTTGTCGTTCCTTTAACGCGACTTCAAGAGAGGCATTTGCTTGAGCATATGCGGATTGTCCTTGGAGAGCAGCGATGTCACGCTGGATTTGCGCTACTCTCACGTCCGCCTCGGAGTTGCGCACTCTGCTTAGAGCTGATACCAATCTGAATGTTATGTCGTTGTCCCTTATGGCGGCAGTGGGGCGCGAGGGTCGCTGCTCAGCAGGCTGTGGTTGAGGTTGCGGAGGTTGAACTTGGCCTTGCGTGTTGTTCGCGCCTGATGACTGACCACGAGCGTTCACGGACTCAGCTTCTCCTCGCGTGGTGCGCTGCTCAGACGGCTGAGCTGTACCTTCGTTCCCAGCGTTGGGTTTAGCCGCAGGGGGTTGCTTTATCTGTGAAGGCTGCGGTGTCGTCGCAATCGCTCTAGATCTGTCAGTCGCTGCTGCTGCTAATAAATCTAAGGCTGGAGCAGCAACAGCTTGCTGACCACCCGCTGGAGGGATTGCGGAAGTGTTGTGGTTACGCGGCGACCTGCGTGTAGTTGGTCCCTCTGTCTGCAGCTGGGCAGCAGCGCTCTGAACTATCGGGTGCCGTGCATGCCCACCAGCTGCTCGAGCTGCATGGTAATAAGGCTCGCCGACTCTCATAATGTGTGCCACGATATCTTCGTTAGTGAAGGTGGCATCTCCCGCCACCTGATCTTCCAGGTCTTGTCTGAAGGCAGCGAGTTCATCTGGCGTACGTATAAAATTGGAGAGATTGCGCAGAGCCGCGACGATTTCGTAAGCCAGGTCTTGATCTTTGGTCGCTTCTACCGGGTGCAGAGCATCTGGCAGGACATGCAAAAGCGAGGTGGTTCGCCAGGTGGTGTAGATGTATTCGAGTGCGGCGTTTCTCTCCTCTTCGTTTTGTATTATGGTGACGGGAGGAGGCTCGTTCGCAGGAGTTTCGTTGTCGGCGGCTTCTGCCTCAGCAGCGTCGGCTTTTGCCTGTGCATTCTTCTTCGGTGGAGCTCGCTTCTTCTTCACTTTCACACCGGCTTCTGCGTTTCTCTTCGTGCCTGGGTCGGTTGAGGGTACCTCGTCAGGGCCGGAGCTAGACTCGTCTTCACTATCTTGTCGTGATTTCGAACGATTTGCACTATTGCCGCCTGGTCTCTTGCTGCTGCCCTTCTTCTTTGCCATCCTCTTCTGATACTCCTCGAAGCTAATCTCTTCTTCCGACTTATACAAGTCGTCGTCGAGATCCACGTCGGAAGACTCATCAGCTTTCGCTTTCTTCTTCTTCTTGGGTTTACCCGACTCTCCATCCTTCTCATCTCGTTCTTTCCGTTTCTTCGTATGCAAGGCCGAGATAACCGTCCTGAGATCATTGCGCAACCGGGGCTCTTTTATGACCCTCTGTGATCCTGTTCTTTTTCCGTGCTCATCGTGCTTTCTATAACGGAGCGTCTTGGCTAGCCTTGACTTTGCATCGTCGAAGTCGTTCCGTGTTAACCGGGATAGGTCTCGGAAAAGGCGGAGGGTGTTTGTATCCCACTCTTCGTCTGTGATATCGGTCTTGCCGGAGAGCCACGTATCTTTGAGCTTTGTCTTGTTCTTCTCGTCGAACCCCGGCTCCATTATACTCCTTAGGCTTGAGATGTTCCAGTTCTTGTTGATCTGATCAAGTAGTTCTTCTTTCGTCTCTTCTGCTTCTTCTTCGCCGTCGTCGTCCCAGTCAATTTCCATGTCGTCGACGGCTTGCTCCGGTACATCTTCAACACCGTCCCCCTCTCCGACCATTGCCTCGTTGTCCTGCTCGTCCGCCTTATCCTCTTCATTGTCAAAACCGAAATCGTCGTCGTTCAACTCTAAGTCTAAGGGTACGTCTGACATTGGGCTTGTGTCTGGTTCTGGTTCTGGTTCAGGGTCTGGTACAACTGGTGCTGCTGCCTTTTTCTCCTGGCTTTTGCTGGGTCTGACGTACTTGATCTTTGCCATGTCGAGATCCGATTCTTCTGTGTTTTGCTTGTCTTTTCCCATAGAAAATGAATAGTAAGATGTGTGAAAGATCCCAACTCACACTCTCCCCTCTTCTTGATAAACACCCACCCGTTGCTCCATCTCCTTCCACGTTTGCTCATTGGACAAACCTCTTTCTTTATCCCTCCCTTCCTGAACGCGCTGGAAGAGCCAGGTCGGTAGAAAAAACAACCTATATGGTAAGACGAGAAGGAAGAGCTTCCTGGCGCTGCCCTATCGTCTGGGAAGAAGACACTTGCGAGATTCAAAAAATTACATTATCTGTAATCCCCCATTCCCCATTCCCATCTTCCAACCGTCAAGCGTAAAAGCCCACCCATCTCATACCATCTGCCCATCCATCCGTCTCTCTATGCCCATCCAGCCTCAACGCCAGCCATCGCTTTAGATATTAAACCCCCAAAATATACATACAAGTAAAGCGAACCCACAAAAGATCAGAGAAAAAAAAGATGAAGAGAAAAGGCGTAGTTAAAAAGGAGGCTGTATATCCCTACTCCGCCCCCTTGCATCTTCCATGCCTCCACCCATCTTTCATTTGATTAACTCATCCACAACCATCCATTTCACTACCACATATCATCATCCCCCCTCTTCCCCCCCTCTTCATCGCTATAATTACTATACCCTCCTCCTCCTCCTCCCCCTCCTATCCCACCACCCCCACCCCCTTTACCAGATTGTCCCAGATAATTCTGCGTATTCGCTACACTATATCCCCCACCACCACCACCGCCTCCACCGCCGCCGTTCGCACTATGATTCGAATGGTGCGAATCACGCGGATTCTGGTTATAAGAATTACCCTGCTGAGATCCGCCTCTTACATGCTGTTGTTGTTGTAATTGTTGTTGCTGGTGTTGGCCGTTTTGTTGTTGTTGTGAGAGGGCGCCGTTGGCTTGTTGTTGGTGTACAGAGGGCCATTCTTGTGAGGATTTTTCGGAGGATTGCTGCTCGTGTTGTTGTTGCTGCTGCGTTCTTCGTTAGTTTCACTCTTCTAAATATTGTTGCCTTTGAGATCTCTTACCTGCTGGTACCGCTGATACTGGGCAAACTCCTCAGGCTGCGACTGTTGCTGTTGTTGCTGCTGCGGTTGCTGCTGCTGAGATTGCTGAGCGGCCTGCTGCTGATGTTGCTGCTGTTGCTGCTCCTTCTTCTGCTGCGCGGCTTGTTGCTGTTGCTGAGCCTGTTGAGCTTGCTTTGCTTGCTTGGAGTTGCCGATGGAAATCTGCGGGTGCATTTGCTGGACCTTGGCGAGGTACGAGTACATGAAGTTGGAAAGCAAGACTTGGGAATAGAGCTCGCGGCGGGGGTTCGCAAGCTTGATGTGGGCCATGCGGTAAATAGCGCGCTCTTCTAGGATCGAAAATCGTGTCCAGTTGTAGTCGATGTCGGGCTTTAAGATGCGTGGCGGGGGCTCGGGCGATAATCCACGTGAGGCGTTCTTCTTGTGAGACGACTCTTTCTCGCCCTTCTTCTTTCCTCCTCCGAAGATGGAGGACAACAGTCCAGGCTCCTTCTCTTTCTTGCCTTCGCTGGATGTTTTTCTGGCGCTCTCCTTCTTTCGCTCTTCTTCCAGCTTGACGCTTTCGCGATCCAGCACTACGCTCTCCCGACCACGACCCCCGCCCTGTATCGATGTCTGCAGGAGGTCCAGTCTCGTGTCATCGTGGCCCTTGTCCTTCTCCTTCTCCTGGGACTTGCTGAGCTTGTTCTTGACCTTCTTCGGGGCTTCTTTTTCTGAGTCTTTGTCTTTTGACTTCTTGTCTTTTTCCTTCTCCTTATCACCGCCAAACCAGCCCCAGCTCGTCTTCCTTTGTCCGCCCTCAGAGCCATCCTTGTCCTTCTTATCTTTGGCCTTCGGTTCGAGCTTCTTCTCTTCTGGTGCGTTCGGGATTATGGACAACGAATCGACCCTGTTGTTCTGGCCGGGCATCGCCGAAGGATGCGCTACTAGATCATCGAAGGATTGCGCGGGCTTGATCGGGGACGACTGAGCAGCTTGTGCATGACGGTTCGGTCGACTTGACGACTGGGGCTGGCGCTGTTGCTGCGGAGGTTGCTGTTGAGGCTGAGGATAATGGCGAGGGCCTGCAGGTTGTTGCTGGGCTTGAGGCGGAGGTTGACGAGAGGAGTGACGTTCGGGTAGCTGAAACTGAGGTGTTCGGTTCTGTTCTTGTGGCGGTGGTGTCTCGATGATCTGGGGTACCTGCTGCGGCGGAGGTGTGTAGCCTGGCAAAGGTGCGGTCGTGCGGCCGTTGGAGGCGATTCTCGAGTGGAACTGCCTGGGCTGCGGCGAACTTCGCTCCTGCTGTGAGATAGGCTCTGTAGAAGCTGACCTGGGGTACTCCTCGGATGAACCAGGTCTCTCGCCGCCATAGCTGGGAGATGCCCGCTTGCCCCCAGGCCGCGAGAAGTTGTTGGACGATCCTTCAAACGCCGAGTTAACGGGTTCCGACTGAACGCGGTTGAGACCTGGGAGAGGAGGGACTTCGGGAATGCTCTCGGTAGAGTGGACGGGCGAGGTGGACGGGGAATCTTCCGTGTCGGTGTCTCCTTGTCGACCAGAAACGAGTCGCCGTGAGAGGGGCGGGCCGCCTTTCCGCAGACTGCCTCGTCTGTACGTAGTGTGTGTTGATCTCTTGAGCGTGCCCAGACCACGCATCTTGCTACCCGGCACAATGGGCATCCCGTCAGAGCCCTCTTCCCCTTCCCCGGCCATGCCCTTTTGATCGATGCTCATCCGTCTTATTAAGGCCACCGGGTCCTCCTGTATGTGCTCGAGCTCCTGGAGGTTCGACAAGCCCCCGTTGGGCTGCGCGCCGGATCGCTTCCTCTCCAGCCTCTCGGCGCCGTCCTTGTAGCCAGAGCCAGTATCAATCTGTCTGGACAGCATGGACTTCTTCCGCCGCAGCCCTCCCCCCGAGCCCTGACGCCCCATGGCGCCATCCGGAGATAGCGAGTCTGAGTCTCCGGAGCGTCGTCTCGTCCTGTCAATCTTGTCTTCAATGAACGTCTTGAACTCCATGGGCGCCAGTTCGGGATGCAGCCGTGCGGGTACCCAGAAGAGTTTCGACTCGTCCTCTTCCGACATGGCCGGTGGGGAGGGCGGTGAGTTTGCGGACTGGAACGAAGGCAGATCGGGATCGGCATTGTTAACGCCCATGGACATCCTCCGTATCGCCTGCAGGTTGCTCAGCTCCTGGGCGAGGCCCGCCGGGCTGTTCTCGTAGTCGAGGTTGTTCAGCGGGAACTGGTGCGACGCCGTGTTGGAATTCGAGCGGGACAGTGGAGGGGACATCTGGCCGCCGTTCGACGGGTGCCGGGCGACCGAGGCCCGCTTCTGGCTCATGGGCGCGGTGCCATTGGGGCTCGTGGGCGTTTGGGGCTTCTCGAAGGACATCTGGGGACGCAGCGGGGACCTCGCGGGGGGCGCGTTGGGGAAGGGGTCGAAGGCCTCGAAGGCGCCAAAGGACTGGATCGAGTCGCCGTTGGGGCTGGGGACGAAGCTTAGGGGTCGCAGGCTGCGGCGGTTGGGGGCGTCGGTGTCGCTGTCGCCGCCGTACATGTCGCCTATGGCCTCGGTGACGTGGTGGCTGTCATCGCTGATGGATATCTGCGGCGCATGCCCCCGGCGCGGGCCTGGGTTTCGCATCTGATATAGGCGGTCCAGCTCTCTGGCTCTGTCGGTTGCCTGTGGGGTACGAGACTTGGTCAGCTTGGGGGCTCCTTGGAACGTCGGGTTGGCGCCGCGGGCCTTTGCCGGGGAATAGGGAAACGAAACAATGGCGACCTCAATTGTCACCACAGTATTTGGTAGATGTTTGCCTGAGGCTACTAGGTAGACATGCGCTACTCACCATTTGCGAACCTCAGAGAGTGCGGAGGTGCGGGTTAGCACGATTGCCACGGCTTGCTTAGGGCGCCGAGGCGGTGCGGGCATCCAAGGGCCCAAGATTTGCGAGGCGGACGGGTCGGGCGTGTTGGTGCTGCGGCGAAGGAGTATCAAGCACCATGGTCTCAGGGAGAAATAGTAGAGGTACACATTCGCGCCGTGATGCACATGTCCAGCCAGCACCCCAACTAACTGCAATGTCACTAGCCCGGAGCGCGCCCAAGATGCACGACTCGGCGCCCTCCAGCTGCTCCGCCACACAGGGGGGCATCACCACAAGCCGAGTGTACGTCTGCCAGCAGCCGCCCTCAACCACGCCAGACAGCCAATCCATGTCCGCCTTACCCAGCCGGGCGACTTGGATGCCGCATCCAGGGTCCTGCTCAAAAACAACAGAGACCGTTTCAACGTCTGCACCCAAAAGGAACCCCTACTGGAGTCTTCACGGTTTCGGCAGCACGCGGGTGTTCACGTTGTCACCGAATGTGATGCGTGCGAGAGACAAGAATAGCCGTCTCGTCTCAGACTACTCGCAGATCCCCGGACTAAGTCACGGAAGTGCACCATGAAGCACGTCGCTAGCCCACACCATTGTCAAGCGAGCTGTCACCCTCCCTCGCTCCCAGCCCAACATCGTGATCCCATGCTAACTCACCGATATCATCTATCCACATATTGGCGCTACTCCCCGTCAGGCCGAAGCGCCAGGGGTAAATGTCCCTGCGTCTACCTATTCGCTCGTGCCGCTGAGACTGGTCTGTTGTACAACGTAGCCGCACGCCAAGGTGATGTCATGCTTAAGCGCTGACCCTCCGCGCCGCTGCCATTATCGTGAGTGCTGCATTGCCATCATCTCCGACGCTTGGGATTTTTCCTATTGCGAGTAGTTTGTCTATAGGGGTGGAAGTGGTGTGCTGCCATGGTATATACAAGAAGCAAAGATTCACATTCATGCCTGGCCCCTGGTCTCAGATCTCAGCACCTCATTCAAGGGAGAAACTGAATACCTAGGAGCCTACGTCGCCGTTAGGCCACCAACTTCGCAAGCTTTTATCTTGACGTAGGCTCTTGGGTGTTCGGTTTTTCCCCTGAATAGGGTGTCAGGTCGATGCGCTGCTGCGTCTCCAGACAAACATCGCCGAGGCCACTGCGCACGTGACGGCTCCGAGCGCTAGGTAAAGATTGAGATAATCGTAGCCGTCCTCTTCCTGCTTGGGGAAGGCTGTCGAGGGGTGGGTGGCGCTTTCAGCCAGCTATACGGTGTTAGCTCGTGGAATTAATCAATGGATGTAGTACGTACGTGAACAAACAGCTCCGATATGCTGTTCCACGTCGTGCTGACGTGCAGTGGCGGTGCCATTCTCAGGGCGCTGGTGTACTCGTCGGGCTGCTGCTCGCATCGCTGCATCGTCTTGTCCTGGTCTGCCTTCAGGGCTGTGTAGACCGCTGGTAGTTGGTCGAGATGGGGGTACTTCTTCCGCAGCTCGACAACATGCGCAAAGCTCGTGGGGTCGCTCGAGTCGTACGTATAACACAACAGATCGCACGCGTCTAGCTTGGCCTGGTTCTCTAAAATCGCGGGTTCGAGTTCACCGAGCTCCTCTAGGATCAGATAGCATTGCTTGCCACCTTTCAATTCCACGCTGTTGACTGCCGAACGCGGTTTTATCGTGGGATGGTAGGTGTGACTGAACGGTCGCTGGAGGAAGGCAGACAGCAACGAGCTCTTTCCACTCCCGCTCGACCCTATGACATAGCATAGGAAGACGTTGCGCTCGACGCGGCCAGGCTTCTTCCGCCGCTTCCTAGCTTTGGTCACCTTGAGTGCGCTGGTTGTCCCTCCGCGCTCGCCGCTCTCAAATCCGAGGTATGCCAGGTACGCTAGAGTCGTCTTAGGCTCTTCAAAGGTAGTCATGCTCCATTGCGCGAGCCAACCTTGTAGTGTGATGTATCCGGCTTCGTTGCGCACTGTACATGATGGGAACGACGAGTCCACCCACGATGTCGGCATGCCGGGGGTCGGTGCGAATAGATTCGCGAGTTCTCTGTCGTTCAGTCCTCCGTCATTGTCCATATCAAACTTCAGGAACAGATCGACGAAGAAGCGGTAGCCGGACGGGCTGAGTTCGGCGGAGGAGAACTGAGGAACGTCGAACTTGGGGTGGAGGAACGTGTCCTGGAGACTGAGACTGTCGGTGTAGTGGAACTTCCGCAGTATGATCCAGATGGTTTCGTGCCGCCCCTTCTCCGCAAAGATCTTGTTCAGAAGTAGGAACCCCTTCTCGTCCATGCCATGCTCGCCAGTTAGACCAGGAGCAAAGCGCTCCATCGACCTCTTTATGTTCATCAAGTCGTCGTCCCCCAACGGTTTCTCGAAGCACTTGATCTGGAAATCGTGGATCTCCTGATCGTTCCAGTACCCATCTTTGTCTGTGTCGCATAGGTGGAAGACGCGTTGCAGTGCAGACACGGCTGCGGGCTTGAGTGCGTTCTCTTTGGAATCGTATAGCGGGGCTATCGGGTGTGTGACGGCCTTTTGGCAGAGAAAGAAGACCTCATTGATGTTGTGGTGGTCCTTGGCGCTGGTGCGGATGCAGGAATCGATCTCCTTGAACTCGTTCATGACGGGCAGCATCTCCTCCGACACGACTTGGGATGTTGTGCCATTCGAGGCTATGTCGGACTTGTTCGCGCACAGCACCACCGGCACGTTGACGCCTAAGGAGCGGAAGTAGGGCATCCAGAACAGCGCCACCCGCTCATAGCTGTAGTGGTCTGAGTATACGAGGAGTATTACGTTCGACTTTCGGAGCTCTGTGCGGAGGGTGTGTCGTTCGTGGGGGAGGGCGGAGGTATCGACGATGGTGGTGGTGACATTGTCGGGCGTCCCAAGCGTGGGCGGGAGCGTCACCTGTGGCAGGACGGGCTGGATTTTGGCTGTGACGAAGACGTCCTTGACAAGAGACGTTATGATGGAGCTCTTGCCGACGCCGTCGTCACCGCAAAGACAAATCCGTACTGCGCATGTTAGTGAGTGCGTTGTCGGGAGGGAGCTCCACATACCGGTCGCCATTTCTCGGCGGCATTATTGATGCATTTGGGCAGGTGTGAGGGATGTAGTGGAGGTAGTGAGTGGTTGGGAAACTGGGTCGGACCTGCCGTGAGAATATTCAGACTTGTGCAATGTTCATAGCACTCCGAGCGATTCGTGGTCAGGGCAGCACCAGTGCTGTCAGAAGGCTTGGCACACGTGGGAGACGATCGCAGCCCTGGAGCTTCCCCGCCAGCAGCCCCGCAAGATTGGCTGCTGGGAGGTGCAATGCGTCGACCGTTGTCGAGTGGCCCTGCAGATACGCCGGACCCATGTCATGTCTCGTCCTCTCCACCAACGGCCAGCGGCATGGCAGGCAATTAATAAGACAGCCCAGTGCACGGAGCCATAAGGCGCCCGTCTCGTCTCCGCTTTCCACTTCCCCAATGGTTCCATGGCCCGCGCTCCCATGCCAGTCCCAGCCTGCCTGCCGCGGGCCACAAGCTTCCTTCTCCGCGCGCGCCCAAATTGACGTATCCTGCCTCTTCACACGCCGATGCCATAGCCGCGGTACTTGCTGGTGCTAATGTCTTACCCTTAACTCTACCCTGTCACTCCTAGCCAGGCACCGCGACTCCACCAGGCCGTATTTAGCCCGCAACTGATTACACTGCAGCAGCTATGTTGTGAGTACCTGTCCTATCTCTGGCTGACCGCCGGTCGCCCACCAATGGCAGCCCTATCGTGCTCCACCCCCATCGGACGCGCGACTGATGTGTGTACAGCGTCCTCCCTCCGCCGCCGCGCTATCCTGTCGGAGGCTACCCGGGCGCGCAGCCGGGCCAGCTTATCGAGACCAACAACACCCTCACCCACCCCAGTGGCCCCGAGCACCAGCTCGTCGTCGGAGAAGGTAGTTAACCAGCCTGGACCCTGCATTCCCTGCCCTCACTGACGCTATGAAAGGTACCTATGTGCTGCGCGACGACCTCCACCTAGCTACGCCCCCGCCGCATCCCTCAGAGGCCCCCATCCACAACCCGAACCCGCTTGCGACGACAGTCTCTCCTCCCACAGCCGGCACCAAGCTCTCGCTGGTCGCCCTTGCGCCCCGCCAGCCCTCGCAGTCGCAACTCCACCGATTCGGCACACGGACGAGCACCCGGTCGCAAGTGCCCCCGAGCATACAAGAGTCGCCGCACGAGAGCAACAGCCAGGCGAGCGATGGTGGGTCATACAGCGCCAATGGCATCGTGTCGTCTCCGCTGGATGGGCTGAAGACACCCGTCTTCGGCGAAGGCAACGCGGCGCTGGCAGTCATCAACGGCAAAGACTCCAAGGATCCTACTAAGAGGCGGAAACCGAAGAGCAACATTGTTAAGAGCAACTCGTCCTTCGTATCCAGAGTCATTCCGCACGAGGCCCTGACCAAGCGATTGCAAGAACACAACCCCAATGGTCTCTATGCTTTCGCAAACATCAACCGCGCATTCCAGTGGCTAGACTTGACATCACCTACCAAAGACGAACATCTGACCAAGATCCTCTTCACGAAAGCGCACGCGCTGTGTCACGACATAAACCAGATCACAAAAGGTCCAAACCACCTCGACATCATCATGGGCTTTTCGACAGGCGACATAATATGGTACGAGCCAATGTCGCAAAAGTACGCGCGCATCAACAAGAACGGCGTCATCAACAAGACCGCCGTGTCGGATATACGGTGGCTGCCAAATAGCGAAAATCTGTTCCTGGCAGCGCACATGGACGGCAGTCTGGTGGTGTATGACAAGGAGAAGGAAGACGCCGTGTTTGTGCCAGAAGAAGCCGTCACATCTCCTAGCGAGAATGGGCTGACGGAGCAGGAGAAGAAGCTGAAGCACCTTTTAACCGTGAAGAAGTCTGTCAACTCGAAGAACCAGAGAACGAACCCCGTGTCCTACTGGCAAGTCTCCAGGTCAAAGGTCAATGCCTTTGAATTTTCGCCCGACCGACGTCATCTTGCGGTTGTGTCCGAGGATGGGTCCTTCAGGATCATGGATTTCCTTCGCGAGAAGCTGCTCCACCACTACATGAGCTATTACGGCGGCATGATGTGCGTGTGCTGGTCGCCTGACGGTCGCTATGTCGTCACAGGAGGACAAGACGATCTCGTCTCGATATGGTCTTTGGAGGACAGCATGCTGGTAGCGCGCTGTCAGGGCCACAATTCGTGGGTGACGGCAGTGCAGTTTGATCCATGGCGATGCGACGAGCGCAATTACCGTATCGGCAGCGTAGGGGAGGACTGCCGCTTGTTGCTGTGGGACTTCAGCGTCGGCATGCTGCACAGACCGCGAGCAGTGAGTGCAGTCGTTGAAAGCGACAGTTGTGATGGCTAACGTTGATGCAGGCGTCTGTGCGACAGCGCGGTAGCATCGCCTCGTCGAACCTCAAGATGCAGCGCACACAAACGGGAGGAAGCTCGGTCAATAGGCTGCGATCGAACTCCAACCTCACATCGGGCAGCATGGCGGACGAGGAAGAAATAGTGGTGCATCCCGTGGAGCCTCGGGCACGCACGGCCATGCTACCTCCAGTGCTGGTGAGTTTGGCTTCAGCTGAAACCTCAACATCAATTTCTAACCGCCAATACCCATAGGCAAAGTCCGTCCACGAGCACCCACTGTGCTGGCTAGGCTTCGAAGAGGACTGCATCCTCACCTCATGCAAGAACGGTGAGTCGCAGCAGCAAGCAAAGTTTTCGTTCAAATCACCTCATATCCACCCGTTACGCGCACGTTGCAGTAGAAACCCGCCCTTATCGCAGATCATGGTGCGGCGCAGGTGGCCGTGCGCAGGAACACCCGTCTTAGTGGCACACAGGGATCCGCCCGACGCATTTGTTGAGTTCGCGATGGGCAAAATTGAGAGATAAGGAAGTGGATCGCTGACAGCTTTGTATTGCAGGCCATATCCGGACTTGGGACCGACCGAAAGAAGGTGCTGGGAATGACGACAGCAGTACGTCTGCGAGTGCAAATGGGAACCATGCATAGGATGCGGGATTTGGATCTGCATAGGACGTTATCGCGCGATTGGGTTTTGGTCGTGGTGGTGGCGGGATCGAGGTCGAGGTCGGAGGTCTTGGTGCGCTCCGAACACTAGCCAGCGTTCAGATGCACTTTGCTGCGTACTCACCACTACAGTCTAGGAAGTAGACGATCTCTATGATAATGTATACTTCTACTGAGAGAGTATAAAATGCAATCTTTAAAACTGTGTATCTCAGAAAACGGCGCGCCACACGAGTTCCATCGGAGGCAGGTTGGACACCTCCGATATATCCCGACATCAGTCTGACACATGCCAGACGCCGTTCAGCCCTACATGCACGTCTGTCTTCCTTGCATGCTGCGCGGGCGAAGAAGCTTACTTTGTTCTAGAACACCCAGTCCATCCATCTGCACACACATATGCGTCACCTAAAATCAAGTTTCCTTATCTCCACCATGCACCCTTTACGGCAAAAATCACGACCATGAGGATACCACTGGGTTTCCGACCGGTAAACTAAATTGACTAGACCATGTCGATTGCGCTCACGATGTCGGAGCTGTGTGTAACTAGGGCGGTGGATACAATGCGGGAATTATGTGTAGTTGAGAAAGCAAGCGATTGTGGGTCTCTATATACTTTAATGTACGTACATACATGTACATGGGACATGGCTATGATGAGGCTCTGCTCGCATTACCCACAGTTGCGGCAATGCAGGTCTAGCCGCAGATTTTCGTGGCCGTGCATGCTCGGACCGAGATTAAGGTAGGGGAAGAGTTGAGTGGTGTAGTGTAGGGGAGGCTGGTGGCTGGTTTCAGCGTGGCGGTCAAGACAGTCGTGACGGCGACGGCGTGGCTGTATCGGCGATGCGTTGAGTTGAGACCTCGAGATGGAGGCAGGGTGAGACGGAAGCAGGAACGATGGTTCACACGAATAACACCGCAACTCAAACCTAGATAACCATACCCCTCCATTGATTGAGCAACGACACGCAATACACATGCATCGCATGCACACCCTCCACCCAATCCCTCCACGTCAGGCGACCCTCGTTCGACTCACAAATGCCAGTCTCGACGATAGTATTCGTCGAACAATGGAACCGGCGAGGTGCATTCGCACGTTTCGGAATTTGAGCTGCAGGTTGGCCGATGCTGCAAGATGGGCGGCAACCATGCCAGGTGTGGCGCAATCGCAGCTACTATCCATGTGCAATGCGTAAGAGGTAGAAAAGCCACTAGAAGGCTGGGTACCATGTGGAGATACTTCGGGAGAGCCGCAAGCAAAACCCTGAAGAGCTTAGGCTTAGTTAGAGCTTGACGGCGATGTGACTCCAAGCGAGGGATATGAGGAAAAGTGGATGTTGTCGGCGGCGGTTTGTTGGATAGGCTGTAAGACGGAGGTATTCATGATTGTATCGCAGTGAATTTCTCTGGACGCGCGTAATCAATGTCTCTGCACATGTGAAGGCTACTTGCACATGCGGCACTGCTATCGCCATGGCCGCCGTTCGCGGTGTCTTCTTATCGGAAGACCTTCTTTGGGACGGCCCCTGCTGCCAGCCCCGGCCTGCCAATGCGACGCCTAATGATTGCGCCAGAAAATTCTAAGACGTGAGCGCAACCCAGGAGCCGCGCTAGACAGGCGACTACAATGATGCGAGCAGGCCTACTGGACTTGTCGCGTCTCCACTTGCAGCCCATGAGCTCATCAGGGTGCAGGCCGCCCTTGCCCGCTTTATCCCACGCGCAGCCAGCTAATGTGGTATATCTAACGCGGTACCTACACGCGGCCGCGGCCAGCTGGGTAGAGTCCTGCCCTTACTTCACTTTGGTTGCATATCTGTGACGTGCGGCGCTTTCTGTGTCTACTTCCTCCCACGCTTCGAATCAGCATCTCTCAGCTTGCTGACTGCATCGCCGTCCACGTTCGCATATTATACCGCCTACGCCTGCTAGAAGTAGAAGGATACACTGTCGCTGGTTACATTTCCACAATCG